TCCAAAGGTCTTTCACATGCTTGTGTAATGTACCTGCCTTGTGACATTCTTATATGTTTGATTATTTTGTTCAAGTAGTTGTTTCTGGCTATGATAAAAGGTATGAAGGGTCAATCCTATGGTTATGGTTACTAGGAGTGACCCTAGGTTATTTTATGCGTAGAATTCATTGGTGCAATAATATTTAATGATTTATTGTACCAAAACAAGTTTTGTTGCTTAATTTAATGATTTATTGTACCAACACAAGTTTTGTTGCTTATTTTGTTATTTCTGTTAGAAATAATAATTCATTATTTCATGTTACTAATATGGCTGATTGTCTCTGTATAGTAGCAAGCTGACCATCATTTGTTACTAGAAAAGCTCTCTAGTGCCCTTTTGACATCCATTCAGTGAAGGACTCAAACGGAGTCCTTACACTGGGTTTAGGGTATGGTCATAGGCCATTCCCCCCGGGTGCTAGACGCGGGGTATTGACCCGAACCCCGCTGTTCGGGACTACGCGTTAGGATTGATGTCCATATATGCTGGCTCATCATGGTCGTCTGGTGTTTTAGGACGATCTCAGTGTTGATCTCATCTCCATGCCAGAACTGCTTCCTCTCAGCTAGTGTCATCTGGTTCCGCTTGTTCTCACACTTTCCGTGTTAACTGCCTTTTCTTATCTCTCAACACCGGGTTGGTAAGTCGGAGGTTCCAGCAAGTTGGAGGGATAGCGATCTTCCAGAGAAACACCTCTCAGTGCAAGGCTTGTTTGTCCTCAAAATCTACTTGCTGGGTCAATGTTCTGATGAGATAGCAACGTCTCAAAGCAGGTAGGTCTCCTCACACTCACGGATTTTTGGCAGTAACCGTAGCCAAATCCAGCTTATCTCGCCCTTTTTTTTGCCAGCCGAATGAGAGCACGAGATGAGGATTTGACGGAGGTCTGCTCATCAAAGCTCGAGTAAGATCAAAGGCAAAAGAGTGGAAAAGCTATAAATACCTGTCTCTCTGTGGACACTGCCAACTTTTTCTCCCCATCCACTCGACACCCGCCCCTACCTGACATCCAACAATCTCACTCCGACTTCCGCAATGATGAAAGCTGTTGCCATCACAATTGTCCTCGCCATAGCGCTCCCTGCCGTCATGGCCACTACCCACACCACCTGTTACAACTACTTCATGCAGAAGGACGGATGTGTGATTTCTGCGAATGATGCGAGACACAGATGCCCAGCGCCAGCAAAGCCGCAAAGCGCTCCCATGAAGGCGGTAAGCTTCTCACCACCTTGTTCGATGTTTGATTCTCGATGGTTGATGTCTAATGGCTTACTCTGACTCTAATCCTCTTTCGAACAGTTTGCCCTCAAGTCAAAGTCGCGTATGGCCAAGCGCACTGAAGAAACCACTCTGGCTCGACGATATGACACCTCCAAACCTGTAAGCTGATCGCTTTGCTAGAGCTTTCCCAAGAACGATTTCTCATACTTGTTTATTCATCTCTTGGATGGATCAGAGTTTCGCGGTTGCCGGTGGAAATGGTGTATGACCCTCAAGTGTTTGCTTCCATGGTCACCCGCAGATTTTTGACTTTCTGATTGATGGATGTAGATTTGCGGCTACTACGATACCAACACCCAGTATGGGGTATGCCTTTGGAGTGGAGCTGAACAAAACAACCCGACCCTGGAAACAGCTGGATGGCTCAACGGGTAAGTTCGGCCTTTTTTTAAAAAACACGGTATTGGGTTAACAGGTTGATATTCTCCTCTACTCCAGCTTGAAGACCTCTAACTGCGGCAAGAAAGTGTGAGTCGCAAATTCAAATCCGATGACATGCAGCTGACACAGGTGATCTCCGCATTCTTTCACGATCCAGATACATCCAACGAAAGGGCGACCCCAGCTCCGTCATGTCCGTGCCCGTTCTTGACGGTAAGCTGAAGTTTTCTCATTCCCCTCGATCATATGCCTTTATTCCCACTCAACACACATTCAATTGTCGCTTTGATGACATTAGGTTGCGGTTTCAATGATGTGCAACCCCTCCCGGGGTGTTTTGACATTGCTGTTACTGTCAGCGTGAGTTCATCTCTCAACTCTGAAGCAGACGAATCGTAGACTAATGCGTAGGCTGCGCCAGCTCTTCAATGCGTTCAAGCCCACTCCGCAAGAGCAGAAGGATGGTGTCCTTTATGGTGGTATTACATGGGACTTTCAGCAGGGGCCGGTCTAACTAAACATTTCTCTCCTTTTTACGCATATTTTCTCCTTCTATGTTGTCTGCGATTGTTTTGTATATGGTTTTGGGCCAAAGCCCCCCAAACATTTCACACTCATCACACGCTTACGCTTGTGCTTAAGTTGATGCATGCACACTCCTTGTCACACGATTTAAAACTCTTATGCTCTGGGATGTGTGAAGCAAGGGCATGAAGAGAGCAAATAAAAAAAATGGAATAACAGAAAAGGAAAAGAAAGAGAAAAAAAATCCAAAGCCCAGGAGATAGAGTGAACCAGGACCAAGGCACGACCTGCACGGAAAAAAAAATAATGGTGTCGTCACCTTCATCCAAAACCATTGTGAATAGTATTTAGGACGGACAATCGCGGGGAGCACATGTGTCTCACAGCAACGGTGGGCCAGTTACACTAACAGTAGCGTTAGTGTAGCGTAGTGTTAGCTTTTTTTAAGCTACGCTACTCAAAGGTTACTGTTAGTTGCAGATTCTGGACAACTAACGCTACAATTTTTTTTTAAAAAACAAAGTAACTGTTAACGTAGTGTTAGTTCTCCTGCCAAAAAGAAAACTAACGCTACCCAAAAACCTGGTTAGTTGTTGTGTAGCGCTGTTAGCTGCTTCAGAAGTTACGCTACACATCCAAGTGTAACCTTTAATAAGTTTCACTAACAGTTAGCGTAACTGTTTATGTCAGTTACACTAACATTCAGCGTAACCAATGGTAAGTTACGCTGATTGTTAGCGTAGCTTAGGACTATAAAATAAACCTGCCCAAATTAATGACAACACTTGTCATTATTCCAGATAGTATTTACAAAAAAAAAAAAAAAAAATCAAATTTAACAAAAAACCAATTTTCTTTTTAATTATCAGATCCAAAGAAAAACAAAATCACAACTCATCAACAAATTACTTCTTTTGTTTTTCAGA